AGTGTTTACCGACGAATGAGAAGTTTTGGCTTGTTTTCATACCGGTCACACTGGGTCCTTCCTTTAACTCGAGAACACCGACGTAATCGCCTTGAGTGGTGCAGACAACGGTCACTCCGGGATCAGGAATGGAACAGTATTGTCTTTAGTGACGAGTCTCGATTTTGTTTAGGCATGCACGATGGTCGTGCCAGGGTTAGAAGGCGACGTGGTGAAAGGAGGAATCCACAGTTTTTTGTTGAAAGACATGTTCATCACACTGTTGGAGTTATGGTTTGGGGTGCTATAGCTTATGGTTCCAGGTCACCTTTAATCTTCATCAGAGGTAACATGAACGCGCAGCGTTATATCCACGAAGTTCTAGAACCCCATCTTTTACCCTATCTTGACACCCTGGCAGATCCAACTTTCCAACAAGATAATGCCCGACCACATGTTGCAAGAGTCACAATAAACTTCTTTCAACATAATGATGTCACATTGTTACCATGGCCACCAAGATCTCCCGACTTATCCCCAATTGAGCACGTGTGGGATATGATGGGTAGGAGATTGCTCAATTTGCAACGTCCTCCTCAGACTCTAGAAGCACTTCGAGAGGAGTTGGTGGTTACCTGGAATGGGATACCACAGGAGGACATTGACCACCTGATCAGAAGCATGCCTAGGCGCGTTGGAGAATGCGTAGCACATCAGGGTGCATCCACACATTATTAAAGGTCAAAGGGCTTTAAAGCAGTGCAATCATTTTGTAATTTTTATCATTTACTTATTATGCTTCATTAAGTACTTATACAAAATTTTATTAAAATAAAACCATTTAAACTGGGTGTTCGGATTTATATGTCACTTAGTATATTTTTGATTTTTCAATTTTTTTAATATTCTTTTCAAACAAAAAGAGCTGCGAATGTATAAACATCAAATAAATTTCAATGAGTGGGTTGGCGAAGAAATCTGCAATAATTTTGGGCGGTTTCTCTGCGGAACTGAAAAAATATTTTAGTGGAGTCCATAGTTTTAAAATTCGTTCAACCGCAGGGAACACAATGATAGCCACCTCGTTCTTGAATGCGACAACAAATTACTGTAAGAAACGTCTGCATAATCGCAAAACTCCTTTAGTATCTCTGTTCTAATAGTATATATCGAAAAATAATTGAATATTTTAAGGACGATAACTTCGAGATCACAGCTAATAAGCTTGCAGCGGTTGAAATGGTGTTATGTAGAATATGAGCAGGACATCCAATGCCCTCAATATCTCTTCCTACTTCAGTTTTTAATTTAAAGTGTACGTTTTTTTCACCGCGTCTGTCAACGGCGCCAAAGTTTGTATTGGCGTTGTCGCCACAAAAAGCACTTAATTTTTCAAGTGATAGGTTTAGTTTTCTTAATGTATTCAGGGAAAAACTGGATATTGTTTGGTTTTGCGGTTTACCATAATAAAATCTTAAAATTTAAAAATCGGTAAATCTCGAATACCGAATACTTGTTTACTTGTTTTTTGATCCAAATCATAAATCGGGACTTATCGCTGTCAAATCGGGACGTCGTCGGGACATAAGGACTAATAACGGTGACAGTCCCGATATATCGGGACGGATGGCAACCCTACTCATAGTGGACATTTTTTTAGAGATAATTCGACATACTTTATGAGTAGTATTTAGAAAACACCGCTTCCTATTCAAAATTCTGAGAAAATTTTAAATACATTTTGACATTTAAAGTAAAAACTAAAATGGACACAGGTTTATGATATTTTTTTGGCAACTCAATGCCGAAGTTGCAAGATAATCGATTTTGCCTCTTATTTCAGCGGGTAGTTTGGGAAAAAATTGTCAAAACGCCGCCATATTGAATTTGGCGTAAATGCCATTTATGCCGCCATTTTGTAGAATTATGTCAACTTGTGATACATCGTTGAAAAGGGAATTTTGAGCAAGAGAAATGAGACGGAAAATTAAGATCATAGACTACAAAACTGAAAAAAAAACCTTCAGAAGCAGAAATTAAAGAAGAAATCATATCCCAGAATACATTCATTAATGAAAACGAAATCGAAATCACTTTTGTACGACACATACCATTCCGAAATTCTTATACTATATTCGCTGAAGTTTCTGGAGAGCTATATAGAGACATATTTATCAACAAGAAATCAAGAATACTACTAGGTTGGCAAAACTTATTTGTCTATGACAATAACCAGATATCGCAGTGTAGAAAATGCTTGAAGTTTGGTCACACAGACAAAAAATGTAGGGGCGCGGAAATGTGCATTAAATGTGGACAAGCACATAGAAGTGAAATTTGTACTGTAAACATTTTAAAATGTTCTAACTGTATGAACTATAACGTTAAGCATAATAAGAATAATGATGTTGGTCACTCGCCCACAGACAAAAAATGCCCGTTGTATTTATATATTCATCCAGAAAAATGTTTTGAGCGTTTAGTTCTTTTTACGTTTTTCGAGCTACATATCATTTGCAAAATTTTACATGGATAGTTACGTAAATAATTTTCAGGTTAATAATATCAATACAAATATTGCTCAAGACGCAAATGCTCTTAATAAATGGTTAGAATATTCTAATTTCAATGTTAGCTTATATCACATGAATATACGAAGCCTAAACCAAAATTTTGGCTGTTTTAATATCTTCCTAACTACAATTAAACACAAATTTGATATAATAATATTAACAGAAACTTGGAAAATTAATGATGTATCTTTGTTCTGTTTGGAAGGTTATGATACGCTTTACAATAATGGTACGTACAACCAGAATGATGGGGTGGTAGTATATGTAAGAAATGATATCAACTACAGATGTGATTTTGTTAAATTTGATGACGGTATCACAGTGTTGGATTTGATATTGAGAATTAATAACAAAAGTGTAAAAGTCACATCTGTCTATCGACCACCATCATCAAACCCTTATACATTTGTAGAAAATCTTGAAAAATTTTTGTTAGATAACAAAAATGCCATACAGTCACACCACATCATAATAGGAGATATGAATATTAATATACTCCAACATTCCAAATTAGTAAACAAATACCTCACTGTAATGCAGAGCAATGGATTCATATCAAATATAAATTTACCAACAAGAGTAGTCAATAATAGTTCCAGTTCTTGCAGTGATCATTATTTCATCAAAAAATTTTCAAATTTCTTTTGGTACATACCGTTAATTGTTGAAAACCATATTACCGATTATTTACCCACGAATATAGCCAAAATTTTCGAAAAATTACTACAAAAAAGGATATTACAATTTTTGGACAAAAACAAAATTATATGTTCTGACCAATATGGATTTAGAAAAGGACAATCTTCACTACAGATGCAATTTTGGCTGCAATGGATGAAATTAACTCTAATGTCAACAAAAAGATACCTACTATTGGTATCTTTGTTGATCTAAAAAATGCCTTTCATACGGTTAACCATGTCGGGCTTCTGAATGTTATGGAAAGATTGGGATTTAGGGGAGCGTCACAAATCCTTTTAAAAAATTACCTTTCAAGTCGGGCACAGACTGTCAAAATCACTAACACTTACAGTAAAAAAATGTACATCAAGTGTGGTGTGCCTCAAGGAACAGTACTAGGCCCACTATTATTTAGTCTCTACTTAAATGACTTATTCAAAATTAACAGTTCTGGAAAGATTATATGTTTTGCAGATGACACCCTCGTATTATATAAAGCTGATGACTGGAGCACACTGAAGCAAATAGCTGAAAAGGATTTTATAAGGATCATTGACTGGTTTGATACTAAAATTTTAACAGTTAACTTCAAAAAAACAAAATTTATTGCATTTACATCCTATTCAAAATTTTTGCCTACCTTCGAACAAATTTCCGTTAATTATCATGGCCAAAAGACCAAAATCGATAGAGTTAACACTTTGAAATATCTTGGAATAATTATAGACTCACATCTAAGGTGGGATAACCATATTAAATATGTTATCAAAAAAATTAGAAAACTCAAAATGCTTGCTAACATTCTTACAGAAAGTTATCTGTGAATCCTATACCATGCCTTAGTTGAAACCCATATAATATACGGCATCACAGCCTGGGGTGCCGCCTGCAAGACATATATTTCTGACCTGAATATAGCACAAAAAACTGTTTTGAAAGCCATTTTCCATAAGCCAAGATTATATCCAACGAACAACTTATATCAAGAAACAGGGATACTTGATACAAGACAACTTTGTTTCTTACATGCCACCACCTTATACCATAAGTATTGTAATAAAAGAAAAAATCCTATAAACACGAGCATAACACACGATTTCGAATAGGCTCATCTAATATCCAAAGACCACACAAAACATTATTCAAAAAATCATTTAAATTCTTAGCAGCTAAATTATATAATGTACTACCAAACGAAATAAAGATACTTAATTTTGGAAAAAAATTTAGAAGAAAATTGAAAGACTGGGTTAGTAATGTGCAGCGAATGACTATACATAATTATATAGAAAACTAAAACTACAAAATTCCAATTACATTAATACCTTTTAGATTTAACAATAATTGTTATACACATATATGATTGATTGTTAGTTATTAAGATATAAACCACACACAGGCGATGCGTTCTGTGGTTTTTTCATATTTATTTGCCCATTTTTTGTATTTTGGCGAATAAATATTATTATTATTATTATTATTATTATTATATAGGTACAGGGTCTTATTTAAAATTCTTATTTCATACTCATTTTCGGTTAAACTGGAAGCGATATTCAGTTGTTTTTTTAATGCATAATCTGAGTTTTTATATGCCGTATCTTCACACAAAATTTGAAGGTTCTTCTTTAAACAGCAACTAAATAGTGCCTTGTAAAACGATTTCGTTGACACCCGGTATACCAAGACGTCGCCCCACTCCATTGACCCATGGCGCGATAAACAGAAAAGTCCGGTTCATATTTGATTCACCCTCGTATATAAAAATTACTGTACATCGATTAAATTACAAAGCAACTTGTCTGTCCCGCGTTGATGCACCAGAGATACAAAAGCACGTGTTACGCTCCAAATATGACCATGACCACCAATTTCCCATAGTCGTATCATCGTGCTCGTCAAGAGTTGGCGGTTCCGTTGAAGACGGGCACTGGCACCGAGTACCAAGTAACAATGAAAGTACCGCGATGACACAATGCCGAGACTGGTCAGTTCACCTGCTCATTCGTTCCTAGCGCGAGCTGTGCGAAGCATCAAAGTGGTATTCGGTGCGGCTATTTAATTGTGTAAAAATGGATAACCAGCTCAGTGGTAACGGCAAAGGGAGTGAAGACGAGCTTTTTCAAGAACTTAGGTATGTTCAATTTATCCCACAATTTTTTTAATGCTCCGCTGAATCTTACTTCCGACGTCACTAGCGAGGAATCGCGAATAAATTCGTAAATGAGATATTATGTTTTCTGGATGTTAAATGACATGTCACTCATTTCTATCGTTTTGATTGTCTGTAGGTCAGCCGGTCTGTCTGTCTGTCCACTATCCTTGGTCAGTCTATGGCTTAGGGGATTTGGTTGAAATTCTTACACAAGATTGTCAAGGACGAATGGCGGGAGGGGGGGAATGAGACGATTCGCCGATAGAAAGCAACCCCCCGCACTCCTTGAACCAATTCTTCCATTAATTAACTGTGACTTGGGGGATATTTTTTTAAAAGATCAAATGGGGTATTTGTGCTTGTTCTGTGGAAATTCTGACCGACTCATCTGGCAACGATATGCTTTGACAGATCCGGATGAATGATAATTAATAGTAGAACTAATGTCATCCGGTTGTCTAGCAAATAAAACGCTGCTATAATCTACCTGTAGATTCAAGCGACCCGCGGGTATACTAAGTATCTTAAAAAGTGGAATTATGTCGGTTTTTCGACATTGTTATAGTTTTTTGTGACAATATGTAGGTTGCTGTGAATTCGTTCCGTAGCTGTACGTGTTGCCTAAACGTCATGATGCTTTAGCTATCAATGTTTGGCTCTGATGTGATGTAACAGCTGCTTCAAAGATGGCATTATTGGAGGTCTAAGTGCATAGTGAGGATTTGTGTGCTAATAATTTCTAATCTAAGAATTAGTTGCGTATCCGCTTTGCCTTATTCAACGTGGAATTTGCTTAGGTGCATTTACTGAATTTTAAAAAAGAAAGCGATAAGAAAAGAAAATCCCTGGCTGATGAAGTATATTAAAACTAACAGGTGACAAAATCTGATATATACAATATTTATGAAACGTAAAAAATTATTAGATTTTACATTTCCGATCAACGCCTAGATGTGAGACGGAGCGAAAATATTTTGTATGTGATGCGTCATTACTAATTTTGCTTTGACCTGGCTGAATTTCACACAACGCCGGTGCGGTGCTGATTTCCATTAAAGCTTCTCAAAGCTCTTCAAAATGCAGAAAAACGGGGAAAATCGTAATGTATAACTTTGAACATAATGTCTATTCAGAAAGGTCAACACAAATAGCCCGTCTGGCACAGCTAATGTAATAATTATGTTCAGTAATAATTTTACTCGCATAGCAAATACAATTATATACATATGCAGACCAATATACACAATCATCCAGATGTGACATTGATACACTGCAAAGCATTGAGTTGAGTCATTCATAGATGGACGCTTTTGATGACGCTCATAGTAAGCAAGTGGAATGTACTATTTGCACACTAGGAACTATCTAGGCAGTAAGTTGAAATTTGGTCTTTTTTTGACCTTTTATAGGTTTTTAAATAACCCTGCCGACTGTGTACGGAAAACAAAGATGTACAACGCCCACATAATGTCTGCCTTGTCGGTCTGACTCTAGCCTTCGTACACCTATAGACCCCGGATAATAAAAATATTCATGTGTGAACCATATTCAGCTTGGATCCTTTATTTGTGTCACAAATCATGGTCAAATTATCACTAAGCTATTCGAAATTAGCATTTCAAAATAATTTCGTATGGAAATCGGTGTGTTTGTGTATAATTTTGTAGACGCAATTGGTAAATATAAACATCTGTAATTGCAAAATTTCTCACGCTGGTTTTTTAAATTTATGACGATAAGCTATCAAAATATTGAGCAACCGCTTCTCACATAGTAAATATCAAATTGATCCAAGCTGAATCGTTCATAGCACAAACCTTATCAACATTATTGATTTTGTGATCTCTTAATATTTAACATCTTCAAACCTAATATTATAAATAGAACTTACTTTTACTTATTGAGTGATTTTGCAGCTCTGTCTTTTGTACCATAATCATACGTTTACGTGATTACACAGGATAATTCAGAAAACAGACTACTTCTTTTGAAAAAAATGGTTTATATATTTGAGGTCAGAATCAGTATAAATTACTCTAACCTGTTCTTCGTTGAAAATAGGCTGTTATTAGTTAAGTTTGACATCGAAAATTGTATGTTGTCTAACAGGAGAGTGATCTTGTCTCAGTCTATTGTTTTTCGAACAATACTCGTGTTTTATCCTTATTCATCAGTGACAGAAATTCAAAACACCCTGTATCTTGACAAATGCACATTTAAAGATGTGTGATTATAAGACATCTGTATGTTATTTTTTAACTTATCTTCTGCTAAATATTTCTTTTGCTTTTTCAATCACCCTGTATATTCCTGCCATACATGCGTTTGCAACAAGGACACTATATAGCAATCTCGTATTTGAATGTATTTAATATGGAGCCTATATACCAGGAAAACCAGCTAAAACTTAACGCCTAACTGAAGGCGGAGTTTTACGCGCTGCGTGGGTTCGAATCCCGTCCTAAGATAAATGTTTCTCTTGGCTATGGATGCTGTGATTGTGGCGTTCCCCCCTTACCCCTGTATCCCCCTATAGCCCCACGGCACCCCATCGATGTTTAGACCTTAGGCTTTCGTGGTGGCTGGAGTATAGAAAAGATGCGAAGAGCAGCTGGTGTTAGGAAAAAAATTAATCTCAAACTTGGGCTGATACCACAGTTTCATACCAAACTAAATTGCAATGACTCTCTCGTATGCCCTAAAAACTGCTAAATAACTGCTATGTTCATAGTCATAAATCGCATTTTTCGCAGGTGATTCTACACATTTAGTTCCACCAGTTCTGTCTCTCAAGACGTTTCCTTTTTTGAAACAAATTCTTGCATATTTTGGTTATTCTTCAATGACTCAATCCATACATTTGGCATTTTAGAGAATAGCAGGAATTCCAAACAATAAACATGTTACTGTTAAACAATTCATCACCGCACAAAGCCAGGTTTTTCAACATTTTTTCACAAATAGCTAAATAACAGTAACAATTTCCATTTAACCAAGGACTTACAAGAAATAAGCAAAAACAGCTGAGTTAATTTACAATGAGCTAAATGGCAATCCCCTTGTTGGTGTTCATATGGTGGATCTGTCAAACCACAGTGATGCCAGATAGATCAAAACAAGCAGCAGAAATCCCTCACAATTGCTGTTAAAGAAATCCTGCAGACCACAGTTAATTAATGGAAAGGGGCAGGTTTGGTAAAAAAACATAATATGATTTTTATCTCCGAAACGTATGATATCCGTCCATTACATTATACCCCAAAAAACCCCCAAGTAAAAATTCCCCAAATTTGGAAAAAAATCCCTCCAACATGGCAATGCTGTCAAAGAACCACTGGTATTCGTGGCGTCATATTTCGAGGTTGTTTTTGCAGCACGAATAGCATTGCCATGGCTTCTCCTAACATATAGGGAAAACCAAATTTGTCTGACGGCTTGAGTTTAATGTGTACGAGAGAGAAACGTGTTAAGTAAAAGAGACAGAAGTCGGCTAGTCAGCGAAAGTCATCACCACATTGCAACGGTGACACAGAAGATCGTGCAATCTGCCGCGTTGCCAAACGTTGCAACAGAAAATGTGCGGAGAGGCTTCTTCAATATGTTAGGTTACTGTCAAGCCTAAGAAAAAGGTCTGTTCGAACATTTCGCTTATTATTTTGTTTTATTTTTGATTAGAATTATTCGTTTCAATTTTGATGCGACTTAGGCCCGTATCTTCAGTCGTCCCTACAATTGTAGGGCGCCTTTATGGCATCCTTGATTGTCATAGTTTTCTGCTTCTCCGTGTCAAAACTCTATTTTGAGGTTATGTCACAAACATCTATTTGCATCAAATTGTGCTTGCTTTTGAGTTATATCATGTTTTATCAGCCTGAAATTTCCTACAATTTAAAAAGAAAACATATCTTCACAATAGGAGAGCGCTGACGCTGACACGGGACAAGTGTAATCTAGAAATTTTTGAAGGAGAGACAGGAGGATGACAATCAAGGAGGCCATAAACGCGCCCTACATTTGTAGGGACGACTGACGATACGGGCCTTAATGTCTCAATTTATCTTAGAGTTATCTTTGATTTCCACCAATGGTGATAAAATCGATACATTTTGAATTAGTTTCCGACCGCAGCGCTGTCGCAAAATGTAACGAACAACGTTACGCAATACAAATGATCACTGTCTGCGTGATGACACACCCCTACAAGCGCTCAATCGTCTATCTATGATCATGCAGGCGGAAAACTTGCCAGGGAATGTACGAGATGCAGTGTTGTCAAATGAACCAAGGATGCAATGTTGCAGAATTGATGGCGATCCTAACCTTCCATTTCGACCCAAAATGGAGCGCTGTTAGGACCGATCCAGAACCGATCCTAAACAGATTCGACAAAATTCACAATTAAAAAAAGTGTACGCTCAAAACAAAACGATGATTTATGCGTAAAATACTAATACACATATTATCAAATATATGCATCTTAACTCATGGAACTGGTGTAACATACTGTCAAAGCGACAGATTGACGCGACAGTGTTGCTAAGCAACGTGGCGATGAGCTTCGCAATCCAGCCGGCCTCTATCTCTTTCTAACACTATACACATTTCTCACTCGTACATATTGAACTCAAGCCGTCAGACAAATTTGGTTTTCAGTGTATAGGCTCCTTGGTACTCTATAGGTGTATTGAAAATATATCCTGAAGTATACTTGAATATACGTACTTTCTATTTCAAATCGCGTGCATTCCAGTGTGAGGTGAAATAATACAGCGAAAGGTAACATGTCATTGTTCTGACAGAGTTTTGATTTAATGCGCCCCCATTGCCTCATTTAGAATTCATGCTGCTGTTTACGTAAAATACCGCAGAGAATATAGCCTGGTTTTGCTTTGTTTTTAGCTTACTTGAAAACAAGCGAAATATCAAGTCTACAGTAACTGTTCCTGTTGGATGAGAGACGAGGTTTTGTTTCGACACTC